AAGGCGCGGGACCCCTCCGCCTCCCCTGCTTTGCTCCAGGTGTCCCTGGTCTGCTGGAGACGGTCCCCAGCAGACCAGGGGCACCCGGGGCAGCTTTTCTCGCCCCTGAGGTCGAGGTGGCGGGACCGCTGCGCTCTGGGTGGTCCCGCTGCCTGCGAGCTCCGGGGCGAGAGAGCCCCGTTTGTAAGTGCGGATCCGACATAAGTCAGATCCACCTAACTCGGGGACTGCCTGTAATCAGTTTTCTTGTGAATATTAAGTCTATTCTGATTAAAGCTGCATAAGTAAATAGGCCCTCAGACTCTTACATTGTAAATTCTAGTATTAAACACATAGCCAAGGTAGAGTTCAGTGTTTGGCTCAAATGACTTATACCTCCTGCCAAGAGTGTGAACCATGTAGTAAATGGTCTTCCATCTTCCATCACTTAAAAAAACAAACATAAAAACCTTTCTTGGAGAAGCGGAGTGAAAGAAGAGAGCTTTTTTTTGGCCTGGGCTGAGTATTTCTGTTGTAGGATTTTACATGCCTGTGACCTTAGTTTGGGGGCTTTCCACATAAAATCAGTGGTGCGCTTCATTGTAGTTTCTTCTCCCTTCTGGGGTGTGAAAACCCTAGTTGGGACATGATGTCTTGGATGTGGGTTTTTTAAAGAACAGACTTGAAATATCACTGTTCTGCAGCTCCATGTTTCCCACAGTTCTGATTCACATGGTCTGTTCCCCTCCTGTCTGCAGTTATTGGAGGTAGTTGAAAGCTGTCCCACAGCCTGTGCTAGCCATACTCTCTTGTCCAGCTTGCTGCTACGTTTTATGCCTCCACTGTAATGGTCAAGCATGGCTCACATTGTCTCTGCGTTCTTCTTTGCCAGCCTTGGGAGTTGGGAGTGTTCACACAGTAGCAAACAGCTTCCATTTACTCCTCTTCTCTCTTTCCTTGATCTGGTAAAGAGCAGTGATATAGTCTCAGCTACCTGGAGCGAACACCTGCCTGAGAGACACATCTCTGACCACCTCCGGCATGGGAGAGCAAATTCACCTGCTCTTACAGGTTCTTCAGAGGCTGAATGTGCCCTGCTCATTCTTAGTCTGCCAGTCTTTGCAGAGCTACAGCACAGGGGATATGAACTGTACAGGCATCTTGGGTCCCCTGTTGTTGACTTCACTCTGCTTTGGATTTCTGTGGCCAGACAGACTAACCCCATATCATCCATCTTATTTGCCTCTCTGAAGCATACAGGACAGAGAAGGAGCAATAATATCAGCATAGTCTATGCTGGCTCATCTGATCCTGAGAAGCTGAAACATAGATATGAGGAGAGATCAGGATATGTGAGACTGCCACCGGCTGGCACCTATGTTGATTCGAACACACACACAGTCCCTGAGAGGAATTTCCCACTGAGAAAACAATGTCCAGTACTTCAAAATTTAATCATCTCAAATCTCTCTTACAAGTGTAAATTAAGTTCACAACTCCCTTGTAAGAACTGGTCTCACAGCAGACAGACCAGCATCAATTGGCAATTAAGATAAGAAAGAGAAATACGTGACCTCATGATTATAAAAGATGGGCCCAGCACACACTCACTTTGAGTGTCATTCTACCCTCTACCTGCTGGTCGGGTTAGGTGTTTGACCTCCCGAGGTTCTATGGGGACGCCCACCTCGTATTTTCGTCTTTCCTAGGAATTGAGGGACCGGCCCTGGCCTGACATGCTGGAGTCGAGAGGCACAGAAGGGGGTAAAAATGGTACCTGGATGTGGTCCTCTGTCTTAAGTGTACACATAGAAAGAGTAAGCTGTTACTTGGTACCATTATTTCTATTTTTCTATCTTTATCTTCTTTGTAACCATTTTTAAGACCTATATTTTGCTAATAGTTAAGAAATAGAGCAATAGCCATTGTAACCATATGATTTATAAGCTTCTTTAATAAACCTGTAACTGTTTAAGCTTTAACCTGCCTCCTTCAGTTGCTGTAACAGAACCAAGCACAATTTAAAAGAACTTCAGCCGGTCTAAAGGGACAGTTATAGGAAGAGCTTGGGCGTTTGGATCTGTGTCACTCCCAGGTGACAGGACCCACTGGGGCATCTTTCAGTCTTTCCTCAAGGCTGCCCGCTGCGAAGGGATTATGAAATTCTAGCAGCTGAAATCTCAGATGTAATAAGCTCTTCCTATATAACGGGGCGTCTGTTGGCCTGCTGGCCACCCTCTGCGATGGGACCCCGGTCCTAGCAGTAAAGGCACGGACGTTAAACCTTTTCTCGGAAACATACACACACACACTGCCCTGACCGTCGGCTGACAATTTCCTGATTTGAGATTGTGAAGTCTAGAAATACTGGGATAAATCCTGGGGCAGAACTAGGAAGGCAAAATCCCTAAGGAGTCTCAGGGCCTCAGAAAACCCTAAAGTGGTTCCCCAGTTTCCTGGGGAAAAAAGCAGGGTTTATATCTAGTGTTCCTTCTCCCTGGTTTGAACTGGAGAACTTCAGGAGTGAGCTCTGATTAGGGGGAGTGGGACTTGAAAGGGACCACCCTAGGGGGAACATAAAACAAGATATAAAAGACCACCCCTGAGAATAGCCAGGCAGCAATGCCTGTAAAATAGGCCAAAATCCCATAGAAGGGAAAGGTAGGATGGAGGGAAACGGACCAAAAAAAGTACATCTTCTGACTCAAACCACTCTTTACTGAGAGGGGTAAGCTTTCAGCTTTAGGTGCAGAGCAGGGCATGGAAAAAATCCAAAAAGATGTCTCCCCTAAAACAAACAAACTTTGAAGCCTTGTGCAAAAAGTTGTATCCACAATCCAGCTCCACCCTGAATAGATGCTAGAAGGTAACCTTGTAAATCCTCTGAGACAGTAATCTCACTGCACCCATCCTTCCTGGAAGTGATGAGCGAAGAATGGCACACACAATGAGGGTAAACACATTAAACGACAAGGTGTGGTGGGGTTTTTTTTAAGAGCAAATATTTCTTCCCTGCTACAAAGCTCAGCTTCAAAGGCAGAAGCTGTTTTTCTTGAAAACATCTCTGTCTCTTGAGCCACATTTTAAATATCCTCTGCAAAACCTGTTCATGAGGGGCACTAGTCAAGAGTCTATTGCCTACCAATGGCAGCCCTAAATTTTTCAGTCTCATGTCAATGCTAAAAATATTGAGTACCCTACCTAAATTCAAGTAATAAAGTACAAGATAGGACAGGATACAAGGTACTTTAGTAAGCATTTGGGCAATTCATGACAAGTAAATTATTTTTATTAACTCTGGTTTTTTTTTAGTGAGCAAACAACGTATTCCACTTTCTGCCCATCCAAAAAAGAGCTGATGAGGTCAAACAGCAGTTCTCTACGGTTCATGGATGAGCATAGGTTTGATTTCAAACTTAACTTTAAAAATGAAGCTGGCAATATGCAGCTTAATAATTTATAAGTTAACTTTTTGACTTTTGGTCAAACATTTTCTTGCTACTTAAGCAGTTTTGCTGATGACAATCTATAGCAGTGTTGGGAAGAGAAACCACGTTAGTTACTTTGAATTGCCATATGCAAAAATGCCAACCTTGGATGACATTCTAGAGCACATTGGGGAATTTGACTTGTTCCAGAAACAAGCCACTTTTGTCTTATGCTTTGTGTCTGCTGCTTTCTCCTCTGTTTATGTGGGTGTTGTCTTCCTGGGGTTCACTCCTGAGCACCGCTGTCTCAGTCCTGGTGCTGCTGAGCTGAGCAGCAGATGTGGCTGGAGTCTGGAAGAGGAGCTGAATCTCACAGTTCCAGAACAGGGGAGACCTGGGGAGTCTCTCTCTAGTCAGTGCAGGAGATACGACGTGGACTGGAACACGACGGGCCTCAGCTGCACCAACCCCTTAGAGAACTTCACTGGTTATGGCAACAGGAGCAGCATCCCGCTCGTCCCCTGTCAAGATGGCTGGGTTTACGATTCTTCAGGATCATCCATTGTGACTGAGGTAAAAATGAATATTTTCTTCTTCCCCATCCCTTGGGTTACCAACTAGTTGAGGGCAGACAAAGGTTCTGTGTGAGAGAAGTGCTTTTATTAAAGAGGAGACTGCTGCAGCCAATATATTCCCCCCTCATTCTCTGGCTCCCCTCCCCCAGTATGGCAGTCTGTGTGGGTGGTCTTCTGTGAGTCTGGCAGCAGTGGGTCTCTGCAGGGATCAGATGGCGGGCACAGTAACTACAAAGACAAATGTCACCTTATTGAAGTGCAGTTGATAAGAATGAATAAACAAAATCCCTCTTTATTTTAATTGCCAGGATGATTGAGCTAACTGAGGTGAACTAGATTTAGTGGCATAAAATGTTTTAAAAATACAGTCTGTGGCCCCCATCTTGCCTAGATCCGGCCCCCCAATGCTCAGGGATTCCCTCCCCCCTCTGCATCGGGGAGCCTATGCTGGTGCTCCAGACCCCCACCCCTCCATATCCCACCCACACACAGGGCTGGAACACACACAATCTACTAGCTCCTGGGGTCCCCAAGCTGTGATGTGCAAGGGGAATCTGAGTGTCCTTTTTCCTTTTCAGTCAGGGGGTTCTCACTTGTGTGCAGCCCCCGACTAATTTTTCTATGGCTGAGTTGAATAACCCCATGCCAGACTTGGTCATGTACCCACACTGCCTAACCATGTTGACAATGGTGCATTCTGGGAAAATCTGGTTAGCTTTCTCATAGTGCCTCTGCAAGAGATCAAGCACCCAAGAAAATCTGTCAACAGAGAAGCAGCATGTGGCACCCAGTCTGATCAGTCACACCAGGTATGTCTAAGGCCAGCTGGCTCAGGCTGCAGGGTTGTTTCATTGCAGTGTAGACTTGCAGAGTCCTAAAGCCCAGGCTCCAGTGGAGGAATTAAACCAGCCCCATATCCTATGACAGCTGGCAGGTCTCTAATTTACAGTGTAGATGTACCCAAAGAGCTGGAAGGAAAGTGAGCCAGCCAAAACAGTTACATGGGCATGACCATGAGGGTTCTGTCTCGCCAGCAAAATAACAGGAAGACAATCACATGCCAATTTAGACCTATATCAAGGGTGAAATGGGGTAACTGCCAATTTCTAACAGTGTTACCTGCATGGTCTAGACACAAACCATGTTATGCTAACAGTTTATACACTTGTTGAAACTCCTGGGATCGGCTAGGTCTCAAATGGGAAATTGCTGCTTAATGCCCTACATCAATAAAATGTATGGACACTAAACTTCAGATACACTGGCTTTCAGAAATATCAGGAGCATATTGGGCAGTATGATATGCTCTGTGAAAAGACACTCCATCCATAGGTGTTTAAGTGATGAAAGTCACAATATGAGGCATTGTTAACTTTTTAGTGAGTAAGAAAGTTGTCTTAAGGGACCTTGCCTGCACAAATGTAGCCCAAAATGTCTTGGGTGGTTGTTTTAAAACAATCTACAATAAAACATAGGAAAGCTTTTATTTAATATATTAAAAAAAAACACATTTCTCTGTAGCATTTATAGCCCAAACATTGCAGCATTCACTTAGCACATGAGAACCTGAAGGTGCAATTGCCTGTAAACTGGCTCGAAGTTTAAATCTTTGCAGTGTGATGGATCCCAGTATCTAAATGATGTGAGGGAATGATCCATGGTAAGCTTCTTAGCATTCCTAGTGTGACATCAATGGGCATTGCAGGTGTTTGGCTTGTCTGGAAATCGGACTACCTGTTTAGGTGTACAAATTTGGATTTGGGGGTGTGAAGTTCAACTGTCAATTTTGAACATTTTGGCTCCAAAGTCCCTGGTGGTAAGAGCTCTGGGTACTCGTGTGCTCTGTTGCCTCACTCATCCACCATAAATAATAATTTCTGAGTCTTTAACCTTCATATTTGCTATAATCTGCAACAGACAGTTTTAACTTGCAATGTTCGTTTTGTCTCCATTGCAACAACTGAGGGACAAAGGGAAAACTGAAGTCCCCAGTGAGTCAGTTTAAAAAAATTGACCGTTGATCTTGGGATGTTAAAATGACACCTTTTTAAATAGGAATGTTAGATAGTGATCAATTGAATAGTCGTATAACCCTCATCGAATTTTAGTGGTTACACAGCTATTTGATAGTCCCTAACGGTGGGGCCAGCAACCAGTGTGCTCCCAGCTCTACTCCACAGTGTGCTCCCAGCTCTACTCTACTCTACTCTGCCACCCTGTGCAGCAGCTCCTGTCTGCGGTGGGCCCGAGCTCCCCGTGGACAGAGGCTGCTCTGGCATCCCATGGAGTAGCCTCTGTCTTTGGTGAGCCTGGGCTCGCTGTGGACAGAGCCAGCTCCATGGCATCTTCCCCTGCTCCCTCTGCCCAGCAGCAGCATGGGGAGTGTGGAGGGCAGGCACCTCAGTGGAGCTTAAAAGCTGGCTCCCCATGTGTACTGGCTTTCACCCCCCCCCCCCCCCCCCCGAAAGAAAGCAGCACAGGGGAGTAGACAGCAGGAAGCAGCTGGTGTGAGCAGATGCGCAGGGGAAACTGGCTTGAAAGCCAGCTTCCCACATGTACTGGCTCCCACCTGCCCCCCTCACCTGTGCTGCTGCCTCTGGTAGAGGCAGCAGTACCTGAGGGAGTGGGGTGAGGCAGGTGGCTCAGTGGATCTGGTGCTCGTGGCACTGGCTTCTGCCTCTTCCCCCTTTCCCTCTGCTTGCTGCCCCTGATACAGAGGCAGGAAAGGGGGTGGGAGTTGGTGCAGTTGATTATCTGGTAAGACCAGGCTTATCAGTTAATTGTGCAGTCATCTACATGTTGACATCCCTACTTTTAAAGGGGACACATTTGCGAAGTGGGTGCTTAGAACTGTGTGAAAATTGGACTCTTCAGAGGCATCTTAAGTTGGGACTCAAAAGTGGAGACCCTGCTTTTGGAAATCTTGACTGAATTTGGGGCATTCTTCCACTTGCATTACATTTGTTAAAAAGCTTGCATTGTATGGCTTTTGGGAGCCTGTCAAAGCATTTCTGTAACAGTGTATATCTGCATTATAAAAGGGTTTTCACAAATAGAACAATAGTCCTTATTTTCAGATGTTTTCTAAAGTAAACACAAATTCTGTTAAATCCTGTACTCCTTGTCAATCATTGTTATAGGTCTGTTAGACTTTGCTCCCAGATTATCTGTATATGTTAGGCATTTGGCATGGTCAGGCATCCTAGTGCTGTTGCAGAGTCCGCTTTCCTGCATTACACACAAGTTTTGCTATCAATTTGAAGGTGAAGTGGGGTTTCCAGGGAAGGCATGCTGTCATCATTTGCTTTATTCCATTTGATTTGCCTGTATTGGCAAGAAATAGTGTCAGATGGTGAAACAGACACAATTTTGTCTAAGTATAGTAACATTCTTTACCATAAACCAGGGATGCACAAGATTGGGCCATGAGCCATATCCAGCTTTTTAATCTGGCTTGTGAAATGCCCCTGCAGGCCACTCAAGGTGTCTGTCTGCTCCATGTGGCTCTCTGCACTCTGCACAGGGCTTCACGTGCTGCCTTGGCTCTCTGCTTTTTATAGGGAAATAGAATTGTCATTGCAAAGAAAATTCTAGATCCCTGTGAGAGCAGCCAGGGCTACTGCTTTATAGGAGCTGAATCTGGAATCGCTGCTGGGACCATAGCTGCCAGCCTCCAGTGGAAGATGCCAAAGGGACCAGAGTTGCCTGCATGTCTGTGTCCAAGGATGTTCAATTGTATAGCGATTAACTTTGACTATACGATGCCTAGCACAAGAGTCCGGAATCTGGTTGGGTCTTTTGGGTGATACTCTAATACTGAGCAATGAGTGTGTGTGTTCATTCATATTTTCCTACTTGTATAAGAAAAGATGAATGGGAACTGACGGAGACATGAGCAGAGTTATCCAGCAGCCTGGTCTTGTATGCCTGTGTGTCAAACCACTTCTGGACTTTATAATGCTTAAAATGAAGTCTTAACCCTGGATTAGAATGCTGTTGTATAGGGTTACCAGATGGTTTAAAAAAAAATACCGGACACACATGATCTCAGATCGAGGGGTGGGGTGGAGGGAGAGACCGGACTGGCCGGGAGCGGAGCGGGGGGAAAGGGGCCA